TAGTCACGTGATCTCGATGACGCAACAATATCATTTCAACACTGGTTTAAGTAGATACTAATGATAATCGTGAAGTTTGTGAGAGTTAGAAGACATCTTCTGAGGGCATTGTTATATAAGGACTATAAAAGAGGTGGCTGAATTCCTCCGTGGTTAAAACTAAATATACATTAGTTTTTATTTTATTTCTTATTTTTAACTTGTAGCCGCACTAAGCGTGAAGTGGTTGTTGATATTTTTTAAGATTGAGGATCATAGGATACATGTTTCTTTTTTTTTATTGGTTTCATGATCTCGTGCAAAGCTACAAGACAGCTATTTGCGTGCAATTTTCTCTAACTTTGAATGATTGATTAAAGAGGAAGATGACAGTCAGTGGCACCTATCGTCATCTTTTTTGGCCTACTCTTCTTTGACCTTGAACGTCCTTCTTGTTACTCACCCACGCTACCAAAGTGCGAAGTACCCTTCTGCAGCAACAAGCCTCTAACCATGAACCTTTGGATTCACAGTTCGAGCCCGCTAACCACTGTAACTGTAATTGTAAAACTGGGTTTGCAACCTAGATCTTTTTTCGTTTTGTTTAGTTGTCTAAAATATTTACTAATCGTAGCCATAGCGACAAAATTCTCTGGTTTTCTTCTTTCGCAGTGTTTTGTATATACAATGATAAGCTGTAACGCCACAAAGCCACTTTTTCACGCATTTATTCTATCATATTACCGGATACTTCAACGTACAACCTTACATATAAAACTACTAGAACACACTCGATTAATGTGATTATAAGTGGCTTTAGTAGGAGCTAATCTTTCCTTAATCTTACCCCGGATTAAATGAGAGATAGCAGTCAACAGAGATCTCAACTCAATTCCATATACACATTAATCTGATAATTCCGAGATTATTATCATTCAAACATTGAATAAAATTAACAAATCAGTTAACGTGTACGTATTGACAAAACTTATTTTTAAACGGTACATTTTGTTGCTATTCTGACATCCTATTTTGCCCCCCCCCTTCCTCAGTGGTACAGCGGTATGTCTGATAGAAATCGGGCTTCGATACCCATGGTATGCAAAGCACAGATAGCCCTTTGTGTTAAATAACAAACAACAACAGCATCCTCTTTTTTTTTTTTCGCACACGTTGCTCCTGGTTGCTCAGCAGTAATCACAAGGGCTAAGATTCTGAGTTCGATCCTTGTAATGGATATTGCGCAGCTTTACGCACAGAAACAAATAAATCAAACAAAAATAACCTCTTCTGTTTGATATTTGTTTTTCTGGTTTATGTGGTTACACTAGCAATTTTGAAATTAATAATAAAGTCGTATTTCAGCCTTCGGTTATTGAACCAGGTAAGTAGCTTATGCATCACTATTTTCTCTTCTTATACAGAATTAATTCTACTATTATAGCCCATAAGTTTTTATTCTTGAACGTTCAAATCATAGTATAAGACGCTTTATTGGATACTAATTATCTAAGGTTTTATAATTTTTATATTTCTTGTGACCTTTGGTGGATCTGACTGAGGGATTATGACCCTAAAGTTCGGGGTTCGATCCTTGCAGTAGGCTCAACAGGGATAATCCATTGTGCACCTTTGCAGTTAGCAAGAAACAAACAAAATTTTCACGAATATATATTTTAATAATTAGCTTCATGCTTTTTTTTCTATTAGCACCGATCTAGATACACGTGAAGTACAAATATTTTATGATTGGTTATAAAGGAACGGAGCATGCGCATAGCATACGAGTTCACGATGATCAACTCTTTTAAAAAGGCATGAATACCTGGCTTTCTGGCATTATCTAATATTTCGAAGAGTGACATGGAATTTCATAGTCGAGTTACCGTAATTTATTGGAATGAAGGGAAAGAGAAAAACAAACAAACTCCTAGCGCCATCTACCAGACCTTCCGCACAATTTTACGTGTCTGTAGAATCATAGGAGGGTCTTGTGTGAAGGGCTTAGCGGAAAGTGGTCCAGAAAATGTTTATGCAAAAAGATGTAGTTTCCTATTGATTTATGCTGTTATCATTTGGTCACTTATGCTATCAGGCTGTGTTATTTTGATATTATATACACTAATATCAAATAAATATCCACCATTCACAAATTTCATAAACTCCTCGGCGCTCGGGCTTATGGCTTTCAGTTCCGTTGTTTTGGCTATGATGTCTTGGTACAAAGGACCTGATTGCGTTTCGATTTTGAAAAAAATACTTATTCTGGAGAAAGAACTTGGGCTTTCTTCCACAAACAAACAGAAAATTAAAACGTTCTTAAATGTGTATTTGATGTTCTTTTTCTTCATTTTTCCTTTTATCTTAATATCGCTTGCGATCTTGTCAAAAAATTCAGAAATAGATTACCAGAATTTGCCCAACTTCATCTTTGGTTGGACAAGTTTCCTTATTCTTCTGGTATGGGAAGAATACTACGTCTTGTATGTCCTATATTTTGCTGTTGTATTTATTGGATTATTTGATTCTCTGAACAGTCAAGCTGAAGAGCTGTTAGGTAAAGTTGGGAAAATAGATCTTTTGGAAATTCAAAGATTTAAGAAACTTCATTCTAGAATGTCCAATCTTGTGAAGGAAACGGACAAGCTTTTATCTCCTGGAATATTTATTTACTTTTCCAATGGAACCGTATTTTGTTGCGTCTGGGGGTCAATGTTGAATGAATGTTTAAATATTCGTGCGAAATTATTTCTAATACTTTTTATTGGTTAACAGTTTTGTAGGTATGCTTACGATGACCTTACATTCGGAATGTTTGGGAAAGAAGGTGAGTTTAGTCACTTATTGCTATTAGTAGTTTATTGTTAGAAACATAGTTTAAATCAATATATATATATATGAACAACCAGATAAAAAACTAACAGATTTAATACCCCAACTAAAAAAACTCAATAATCTGGATTAAAAGCGGATTTTACTTTTAAAGATAGAATTTGTTTTTTTCAAAAGCACACTAAAAATTATATTGTTTAATTGTGATTTCCTTACATATTTTGATCCCTTTCTTTCCATGAATTACTAGTTTTACAGTACATTAAAATTATGATTGGTTTTATTTATCTTCTCAATATATGATAATGATAATTTATCCATATTATGGTATACTTACGTTATCCAGATAAGACAGGTCTTTAGGATGATACAAAGAGTTCCACCAGGAAAGCTCCCTCTGGATTTCATGCAACAAGTAAGTACAATTACGGTGTTAAATAACTACATAACCATTGTTTTGGAGCGTAAGAACCGTTATAACGACACTGTCTCTTGGGCGAAGAGAGGGCGTAACCCTCTGATAGTCCGTCAGCCCCTAGGGCTGGAATGAGATGACAAAATTAACACACTAGTCCGACTAAGGAATCTTATGCCCATCAGTTCTAGACCTTCTTAAGACATTACGTATCAAACAGTTTCAGCGATATTTTTTATGTTAAAATATCATTTTTATTACCTCCTTGAACTGATTGTTTATAGGCCTCTTTCACTACTACATTTTGTGGAAATCTCCAAATTTATGAGGTGTTCTTGTCTGAAGTTGATTTCGCTCATGATTACACTCAATGATAAATCTTCCTGCACTTATATCTATTCAAACAATTAGCGTGTTCATCTAGTTAACTTTTCAGTGGGTGGGTGTAGCAGTGTCCAAAGTTATGTAGAGAAACCCCTTTATAAATAGATAGACATTGTCCTGCTCCAACCATGCTTATTTCGTCCCTTACTCATTCGTTATTACCACTTTTTCCGTTAATCACGTCCACTGACCTTAGAGAGGGTGTTGCCCTCTGTCCGGTCGCATGTCCACCTTGAGCTGGAATGAAATTGCAAATAAAATACAAAAATACAAATTCCACTATAAAACACAAATGCAACACACTTTTTTTTTATTAATATTTAATATACATTAATAGGACCTCAGTATATCACATGTACAGAACGTATTACTTTCTGCGCTAGGCCTACACCCGCAAAATACTGACGTAACACTTTTAGTTAATTTTATGTACTCGAATAAAGTTAAGAACGTCTCTAGCTATTTCAACATAAGCCGATGTTAATACGTACAACCAACACATTAAAAAGTTTCAATTGTTTCATTTACTATATTACACCATAGAAACTCCTTACTTAATTTGCCTGCTAAGTTACAGCACGTGAACTCTCGGAAAAACATCACCAAATAGGTGACCAATGAAATGGATGAATTTTGATTAACCATTTTCTGAGTTTTACTTGTGTGTCCATTTCGAGTGGAACAAGTGGAATTTACTATGTATTCACGCGCGGATCAAAAGGACCGAAACTCACGGTCTTAATAATATAAAGGGTTTCTTAAAAAAAAAAATATGTGTTATAAATAATTAAAAAATGTAAGTAATAATAATTATATTTAACGCAATAAGTACATATTTTATTAATAATTTACAGTTTTGACTCGCAAGGATATTATTTTAACCGACTTAATATTCATTGCCGACAGAGGGAAGAAGTTGTACTGCTCTAAAGAGGAAAAAATTAAATAATACATATTGTAACAGTTGTAAATATATATATACGTATAATGTAGGTTGGTACATCTATAACACTGCTACACATAGAGTTTTCGTACTGAATATAAAATAACACTTTCTGTAGAGTCTAGCCTGCTATCACCTTCTAGCTCAACTGACGAGTTCTGGCATTGAACGAAAGGTCTCCTGGATAGTGACAGTGTCAGACAAGTGATGGATTGGAAATCCTATTTCTAAAGGCTTATAAATTTGAATTCTTAAAGAACCATATTTCTTCTGGGATTCTTCGTTTAGTTAAATTGTTTTTCTTTTTGTTAGAAAGTTTTTTCTTATCTTTCTTGAATGATTTTAACCAACTACAAATTTGTTTTTTTTAGGTGATGCTATCAGTTTTGATGACGTCAGACGAAGAAGTCCACTTCACTGCATCGGGGTTCTTTACGATTAACAGCGCATTGATGACAACGGTACAGCAAAGTTAGATGGGTAGTTTGTATGTTTTAGTGATAAAACACAGTAAATATCATTGCAACATATAGAATTAAAATATGTTATGCTTATACGTACGGTGAATATTGAGTATTTTCCTTTATACTAACTGATACAATTTCACAGGTTTGCTTAAAACAGAATACTGGTCAGCGTATCGGATTGTGTCCCTAATATTCCAGGGTTAGTGTCCCATTGTAAAAAACAAAAAACAATAAAAAACATGATTCGCACTTTGGGGCCTTGGATGAGTTATAAGAACGACAGTCAAACTCCACTGTTTCATCATAGCAGCTCGAAGGTTGCAGTGGCGCTGCCTTCCGTCTAATCTAATCCGTCAACAAGTTTTATTCAAGATGAAATATTTTCTCTGTTTAACGTCATCTGGTGGTGACTATATTTTACGTGTAACTTTAGTTTACTTGTGAATACATACATTTGTCTTCCGAGTAACCATAATATTTACTGTTTTAAGAAATAAAATATAAAACTAACACACAAACGTGTACAACTTTTGATGAATAACACGTGAAGCTAACACTATCAGTATTTCATGAATAGATTTTCCTAGACTCAAAGTAATTTTCAGAAAAGTTGTATTAAACATTTTGTCAAGAAAGTTTTTTTTTTTATCATATTTCAGATAACTGGAGCAATTTTAACTTACACCACAATTTTAATCCAGAGTCGGGGGTTGTGAACCGGCACCGGTTCTACAATGAAAAACAGCTTTGTCCTGGATATATAAATGTTTTCGTGAAGATGTTCCCCTCCCCCATTCTTAGTATACCTGTATGAACACACATATATATATATGTGTGTGTGTGTGTGTGTGCAATTATCAATAATTTCTAATAAAAGCAAGTTATCCACATTGATCAGAATTAAAAACCAACCCATTAATAATGTAACTTATTTAAAATACCTGTATCTCTACGAGTTTGCAGTGTCTTAAAGAAACAACAACAACTTATAGTGATTAAAATGCATTGATTCGTCAGTTAGGTACTTTCGCTATTACGATATTTTCGGCCATAATCCCAATAATACCTCACCAGGTTCGGCCAAGTTAAGCGATATAGATTAGTCTTATTATCATATAGTAAGCTAGCATTGTTAAATAATCCTCATAATACAACAATGTAAATGTATAATAATTAAATTAAAATAGACATATCATATGTATTAATAATTTTAACTGTTAATATTATTGAAACAAACATTGAAGAAAGAGTACAATATACCTTTGCTTACAAAACACATAAAACTACTTGTGTATATTATTCGCTAGCACTGACTGCCTGTCCTTTGAAGATAAATTAACGTAGTCACAATAATTATGCTGCTTGAAAATCTAAGGATATTGATCTATTTTTAGTTGTATAATTAAGTTGGAAACGTGTTTATATTATATCAGTTTGGAACAAACTGACATCATATAAATAAACAAATGTTCTGAGCACAACCCACTTCAGTAAATGTGAAAATCAGATTTCTAAATCCTGGAAAAGATCTTTTGGCATATGTTAAGAAGTATTAGAAAATCGTATCGATGATTCTGTTCATTCATTTTATAATTTCAAGCTACCGTTATTTTGTGTATGATAAGATATGCATGATGTTTCATGCATTTGAACTTATTGTATAATATATGATAACCAAGTCCTATTTATGATATTCTAGCCGTTTCATTACCATATCCTATTTGCGATATTCTGGGCGTTTCATTACCATGTTCTACTTACGATATTTTAGACGTTTCATTACCATGTTCTACTTAAGATATTCTAGATGTTTGATTAGAAAGTCCTATATACAAACTGTTTTCTGTACGTTCAATTTCCAAGCGTTACTTACCGTATTCGGTACGTTTGATTACCAAGCCTTACTTACCGTAATTGGTACGTTTGATTTCCAAGCCTTACTTATAGTATTCTGTACGTTTAATTTCTAAGCCTTATTTACCTCATTCTGTAGGTTTGATTTCTGAGTCCTGTTTACCAAGTGCTTAGTGGAAAAAAGCAAAGTTGTTTGCTGTAGATGTAAGCATTTTATCGAAACTAGCTTCTAATGAAGTTGAAATTGAGATTATTCCTTACTATTAATTTACCTGCATGATTTTATTTCGGTTTTTAGAAATACCACATGTATTTAATGCACTAGCTTAATTCTTATGTAGTGTTGTTTAACAAGTTGGCTTGAATGACAATTAAATCTTTAATAAAGTAATATAGAGTGTCTCTGTATCTGTGATGACGTCCAACACCAGAAACATTATAGTTGTTACTTTGTCATAATAAATGTAGTAACAGTTTTCGCTTGTGTGGTGTCTTTTATGCCCTGATCGAAATACCCTTCATAGTCCCAGTGTCAGTACATGTAAAATAAATCATGATCAGAACTGAGCTGTATAAAATAACTCATGACAAGAAAAGAATGTAAAAAAAAAAAATCATGCTAAGAACTCTGTGATGATAAATCATGACAACTGAACTTCGTGATGATAAATCATGATGAGAACTGAACTCTGTGATGATAAATCATGATGAGGACTGAACTATTAACCTGAAAAGATATTAAACAACAAAACCTAAATATTCCAGACGCGATAAAATGTGCAACTAAAAACCAATAATTTGTTTGTATTAGGCCTAAAGCGTACACAATGGTCAACCTGCATTCTGTTCACAACAAGGGATCAAATCACAGTGTTTATATTAGGCCTAATGCTTACACAATGGTCTACCTGCATTCTGTTCACCACGAGGGATCAGGATCAAATCACAGTGTTTATATTAGGCCTAAAGCGTACACAATGGTCTACCTGAATTCTGTTCACCACGAGGGATCAAATTGCAGTGTTTATATTAGGCTTAAAGCGTATACAATGGTCTATCTGCATTCTGTTCACCACGAGGGATCAAATTCCAGCTTTTAATGTTGTGAGTAAACTTGAACCACACGGGGAGATAAAATAAAGAAGTTAGCATAGAATTTGACTTAAACACAATTTTCTTTTCTTCTTTTGTATTGTCGAAGACTCTAAACAAATAATGTTTCTAATAAGACACAGAGAAGAACCAGAAAAAAATTAAGCGAAGTGTTGTTAACTTTTACTGAACTGGTGACACGGTATCGCTGTATACGTCACAGCTGGTTTTTATTTTTTATTTTAGGCTTTTGTTCAGACATTAATAGTGCTGTTTTCGCACGTTTTGTTTGTTTGTTTTGAATTTGGAGCAACCTAGTCGAGGACTAAATGTCCCTAATTTTTAACTAACAGAGTACAAGGAAGGCAACTAGTTGACACTACCCACCGAAATCTCTTGAGCTACTCTTTATCAACAAATAGTGGGATTGACCGTCACATTATAACAACAACACAGCTGAAAGAACGAGAATGTTAGGAGACGGGATTAGAACTCGAGACCCTCAGATTGCGAGTCGAATGCCCTAACCACTAGGCCTAACCGTTACGAAAACTTTATCTAAATGTTGTAAATTTTTTAACATCATAAAACTTGTGAGAAAGTTTTCTTTGATACTATTCAAGCCGTCCCTAAATTTTATTTCTCCAACACTTTTTTTCTGTAATGTTTGATAAACAGCGAGTAAATTAACTTTTTGACTTTTTCTTCTCGACACTAAAACTTCGATATACATTGTTAGTAAGTGAATTTCTGATGGGGAAATTTTATATTGTTTTGAAATTGTTGGACTGAGTGTTAGATTCTAATAAGAGTTTAAAAGAAAATATTTTGATTATTCCAATACTAGGATGTGAAAAAAAGAAAGAAATAACTCAAATATGAAAAAGCGTTAGAATGAAACAGATATTTCTAACCGTGTAAACAAATAACGAGAGGATAAAAGTAAGAAATTAGCTTCTTTGCAAACATTTAAGCTTCAGTTTTGATTTAAATAAAACAAACAAAAACCAACGCCTTTCCTCAAGGGTGTGTTGTGTTTTACAGATGGCGCTTTTTTGAGAGAAGTGTCCATATTTGATAAGCGTAATTTCTTCCTTACGTCCGTGTGTACTTAGCTTTTATAAGTGCGGAAATGAGTTGCTAACAGTTTAAAAATGACCGTTTATTATGCACTTCTCCTGTGTTGTTGAACTAAACACGTTTTACAGTAAAAATTTCTGTTATGTTACTGATAATATTGTTAACACTATCTATAGTCATTAGTCTCAGAGTATTAAACAAATAAATTTGATTTATTACAGGCTACAATACATTCAAAAGTTAGGCTTCATAATGGCAAGGATTTGATTGTAATTAAGCACAAAGCTACACAATGGGCTATCTGTGCTGTGCCCACCACGGGTATCGAAACCCGGATTCTAGCGTTGTAAGTCCTCGGACATACCGCTGTGCCACTGGGAGGCTAATGGCAAGGAAAGCCTTTTCTTTTCTCAAAACATTCTAATAACATGTAAATTAAAACTAAAGAAAACAAGTTGTGAGGATCTCGTTTGAAGAAACGTCAGTGAGTCGGTATAAGTCCTCCGGTGGGACAGCGATAAGTCTTCGGATTTACAACGCTAAAATCAGGGGTTTGATTCCCTTCGGTGAATACTGTAGATAGCCCGATATGGCTTTGCTATTAAAAACATACACACACACACAAGCACACAAAATTGGGTTACGATATCAGCGGTGGGCAGAGCCCAGATAGCCCATCGTGTAGCTTAGTGCTTTACAACAACAACAACAAAAAAAGAGATTGCTGTTTGTTTTTAATTATGCACAAAGCTACACAAGGGGCTAGCTGTGTTTCTGCCCACCACGGGTATCGAAACCCGGATTCTAACGCTGTAAGTCCGCAGACATACCGCTATGCCATTGGGGGCAAAAAAAAAAAGAGAAGAAATACATATTCAACGGGAATCGAGCGACTAAGTGGCAAAAGTTTTAGCCAACAGCGCCATCTATAAATATTATAATAATGATTATTTTCAACATTTTCATTTTAATATTATTATGTATAATAGAACTCAATATATTGATTTTTCGTCTCAAGAGCAACAGATTACCAGAAACAAAATTGTATCATTTTCTAAAACTTCGTACACAAAATGAAAATGAGTACAGTGTCAACACTAGATTCTGACTACAGAACACTTTTACCTAATCACACTAAATGAAAATGGTAACAATTTCAAGAACACAATCTGGCTAAAGCATGTTTGTTATCTCTTGTATAATACTCGAAGACCAATGTTATTCAAAAGTAATTTGTCTACAAACCGCGAGATACTACGTAACGTTTTACTGAACCCTATAATCTACAGTTACACATTGCATTATGTTATATAACACAGGACTGTTCTTGGTATCCTTCCTTTCAGTAAAAACAGTTAGAGCTACGTATACGAACAAAATAATCATCTTTATGTTTCATGTAGTTCACACGATCATAAAATTGAATTTAATGTATGTTTTTAAAATAGTAGTCTTCGGTCAACATTTCTTGATTGTGTTGGATAAATGTTTACCAAACCTTATTAATCATTATTGCCAGGGCGTGTCTTCCAGTACAAGAGATATTCAACTTTTCTTCCAAAGTCATGCAAGTTGTTACCCTATATATATCTTCATTAAAGGTAATTTAATAAATTATTTTAGACAAACAGTGCAATGACACTGACATGTGATCCATCAAACCCTAATGATGTGTTTATTTTTCGGGTGGTTTAACATTTATCACCAATCAATCAGGAAGAGAAGTGAGACGTGATGGATCACATGTACAGTAGTCATTGCACTTTTTGTCTAAAATAATTTATTAATTACGTTATGATGTTTTAAAAGAATCGTCTGTTGTCAGACGAATATATATATATTACATTCGCTAGGCTTTCCTTGTTCTCCCATTAACTGTCCCAGTATGAGAACTAATGGAAGTTTAAAACGCGTTTTCGTGTTTTCTATAAGCATCTGATTTAATGAGATTTGTCCACATTGGCCCCCCAGTGGCACAGCGGTATGTCTGCGGACTTACAACGCTAAAACTGGGTTTCGATACCCGTGGTGGGCAGAGCATAGATAGCCCGTTGTGTAGCTTTGTGCTTAACTTCAAACAAACAAACATGTTCACATTGGCCTCCCAGTGGCACAGCGGTATGTCTGCGGACTTACAACGCTAAAAACTGGGTTTCGATACCCGTGGTGGGCAGAGCATAGATAGCCCGTTGTGTAGCTTTGTGCTTAACTTCAAACAAACAAACATGTTCACGATGATTAAAAATGTTATTCCGTAATATCATAGTGAATTTTTGAAACGGTCCCTATAACAGTTAAATATCATAGAAACATATTGATACAGTGTAATTATATTGAATTTTATTGTGCTTTTACCAACGTGTATTGAACGTACTAGCGCTAATACATAATACATGTGAGGGATTTTAAGCATATGGCTACATTATAGCACATATATTTAAATACACAAATAGTTTACATATAAATATGACAAACGAGATCCATTGGATGTGGTCAACAGAGGGCCTTGGAAAGCCCATGGTAACTTGGTGGTCAACAGAGGGTCGTAAAAATGCCATCGTCAGCCAGGTGGGGTCAACAATTAGGTCTTGAAAAAGAATGCTAGTCTATTTAAGCGGTTTTGGACTGTAGTAAAGTCTTTGATTTAATGACCACTATTACTTCAATGTTCCAGATGAATTATAAGACGAAAACACTGATTGGAGTAACGTTCCAGACGAATTATAAGACGAAAACACTGATTGGAGTAACGTTCCAGACGAATTATAAGACGAAAACAATGACTGGAGTAGCGATTCAGTTGTTGTATACGCTGGTGCCGAGGAGGTACTGCCTGGGATAGTAGAGGTGTTACTGGTTTGAATCAAAATTACTGTATATGTGAATATAACCCCGGTAATCTGATGAAAGAGAAAAAAAAAGATGAAGAGGTTTAACCGGAATTGACTTTCCTAACCGAACCAAGAAAATGTAATCAATCATATTTAAACTAGTAAATTTCGTGAAATGTCTTTAGATATAAATAAATAAAATGTCTTTATATATAAACTATTAATATATTTTTAGATTTGAAACAATAAATTTCTTTAAATTTGAACCCCTGAATGTTTTTATAATATAAGCCAACAAAAACACATTAGGTTTAACCCAGTAACAAAATATCAATTAAAAAAAAGCAACATTAAACGGGGGATATCGCTTTTAATTTATACTCCTAAAAGGTTTGTTTTTATATTTTAGAGAAAAGTCACAT